TAGTACCCACCTGAGAAAGCACTGAAATCCCTGGCTGGGGCCAGATGAGCTTCCAGACCACACATAAAGGGTCCAGCCTTTAGAATCTGGGTACTGATTAAATCTGAGTACCCCTGTTGCTCCAAAGATGGTAATGAATTAACAGGACATCTGAAGTTCAAGACTCTCTTATTTCCTTGGCACATCAGGTCATTCATTCTTACTGAGAAGTTCTGTTTGTACTGTGGCAGTAGAGCCCCAGGGGCATCTGCACTCAGGGGTTTTATGACACTGAGGCATACCGTGAGCTCTCCGAAATCTGTGTGAATGGAGGAGAGACGAGCACAAGAGAACAAAAACATTCATATTTAACATTAGACTGTATCGTGTAGATTTGCTCTCTTTCTTTCTGCGGCAGCAATTTGCCTAATGATGTTTTGCTCAGATTAATATCGAAGTAAGTTTGTATTCCTCAAGTGCACACTGACTGTTGTAGCAAGACATCAACCAAGTGTGCCAGAAGCCAACCTGAGATTTGACATTTGGCACATATAGCCCCCAAATGGGTAATTACATTTTAAAAATTCAGTGTTGACATATTCGAGGAGGTTGGGTATACGTCCAGGATGTTTGTGTGTTGACTAACATCTGTCTGGCATCTCTTTATTTACAAAGCACTTTCGCATAGAGTCTCTGCTTTAATACAGCAATCCCCCGAGGCAGGTAGTGTGGTTCCCATTTTACACAGAAGAATGCTCAGGCTAGCGGTGGCTAGCGGTGCCATGGAAAGAAGAGAGAGCACGATGATGGAGGTGGCATTGAGCTCAAGTTTCTGGTCCCCAAGTCCATACACTTCCAACAACTCATCTTGGTGGTATAGTTAGTTGTATTTCTCTGTGTCAAGGCCATGACTCAGGGGAACTTTCTAGATCCTTTCTAATCTGAGGATACTATCTCTACTATACTGTCCTAGCTCAAATAGTGTCCCAAGCCAGCCAGCACACCTAAGACTTCCTGGAAAATATGACTTTACTATTTCCCCCCATGTCCTGCTCCACCTTTGATTAACAAATGAGAATGTCTTATAGTCTATTCTTCTTCTCTTCTTAACTCTTAGCTAGTGTCTTCTCTGTCAAGAAAAAAAAAAGCAGACAGTGATTAAAAAGTGAGAGAGACATAAATGCCAGCATTAAATTAATGCCCAGCATTTTCACGGGATATATTACCCGTTTTTTCAAGAAGGTCTGTTTCATTTCAGAAAGGCTGCCTAGAAAAATGGAGAACAATGCTAAGTAAACCAGTGAATCATTTCTAATATGCTTAATACTCTACTATAAGGAAACAGAAAATGAGCAGAGTTCTACTCCTTAAGGCTAAGTAACGCAATAGCCCATAACGTGGAAATATGGTTTCCTGGATGTGTCGTCATTTTAGTATTAGTCATTTATTGAGCACTCCTATCTCAAGAAGCTCCAGGTGTTTTATCAGCATTACTATAGTAATTCTCACATTCCCCTTCATGTTGTTGGTGGGGTCCCATTTTCTGGAAGATGGCAATGGCACCCAGAGAAGTTGAGTGGCTTTATCAACTGAGTGCTGGAATCACTCAGCAAGTCAGAGTCCATGCCGGGATTAGAATTTAAATCTCCTCATACTAGATTTCCAACCAGCAGAGTGAAAATAGATATGCTAGTGTGTGAGTTACATAGGCAACAAACTCATGTGGGTGTTTTATGTGAGGAGGAATTAATTGCTTGCTTCTTTTTCCCTCTTGGCTTCAGAGGTTGGAACTATCATCGGAAGAGTCATTGTAGGGGCACGTGGGTGGCTCAGTGGTTGAGCGTCTGCCTTTGGCTCAGGTTGTGGTCCTGGGATCAAGTCCTGCATCAGGCTCCCTGCATGGAGCCTGCTTCTCTCTGTGTGTGTGTGTGTGTGTGTGTGTGTGTCTCATGAAGAAATAAATAAAATCTTGTTCTTCTTTTTTTTTAAAAAAAGACAGTCTATTGTAGACACACAGAGGAAAACTACCGTGGTTTCCTGGGGTGGGACAGGAAGAAATCATCTTCTTCTGCTACTTCTAGAAGGTGAAAAGGACACTGTCTTCTTTTATCTCTTCAGCCCTAAAGAGTATTTTATTGACTATCAACCACTGTTGGGAGTTTAAAGAAACCTCTGAACCTTGCCATTTAGTTCTCAAGACTGGCAAGACCTCATGGAGGACAGGAGGAGCCTTTGTCTTGGCTCTGCAGGAGAGGAGAAGGAGTCCAAGGAAGGTAGAAAGTCGGTGTCATTAGTTTGTGTGGTGTCACCATGAAGGAAACAGTGTCTAAGATGCACAGCCCATCCATGGACACAGGAGAACCCTCCACACATCTGACCCACTCTGTCAATGAAGTCACAATTGGAAAGGCTGAGGTGGAACTGAGGTTGGAATCACTAGCTTAGTCAGTGAAGCATTTGTCTGGCTCTTGGTTTCATCACAGGTCATGACCTCAGGGTTGTGGGATCAAGCCCCACGTCAGGCTCTGCACTCAGCTCCGAGTCTGCTTGAGATTCTTGCTCTCTCCCTCTTCCCCTCCCTACTGCTCACTTGTGCAGGCATGCACTCTCTCTCCAATAAATAAATAACTTTTTTTTAAAACGCCAAGGAACTAGTTAAATTTTGGTGCCATCTCATTTTCAGCTCCATCTGCAGAACTTGGCCTGTCCTGGATGTTTGGGGCATAGACTATATATAACCAATTATCTACCTTCAAAGTGGTTGTAGCCACCAGAAGGAACTGTCCCGACTTGCAGTCAACAGGACATGTATAAATCAATATAAATGCCTATAAATACAGCAGTCAAAATAAATGATGACGGGTATAAATAATGCTTTACAGTCCTTGAAGGAGTTGAGATAGAGTAGGTTGGAATTCTGCTGGCATGGGGGAGAAGGCGTGAGATTAATTAGGGAATTTATTGGAGCAAGTTGCAAAGATAAAAAGTAGAAGAAGACGCGGTACAGCAGCCATCCGAATGAAGGAGAGGTGGCATGTCTATGGCGCAGCTTGACGAATGAGCACCAGAGAAATTGAAGCCATCGCCAATGATTTGAGCAAGGCACTTAACCTCCCTGGGTCTCAGTTCCTCCATCTATCAATATAGAGAACTGGGTATTGAAATCAAAAGAACATAGTGAAACATTTTGAGTCCTTCAGAAGGAAAGTATCACCATCATATATCCTCTGGGTTAAGGAAAATCTGGTATTTGGAAGAAATGTCTGTGGCATATGACACCTGACTTGCCCCCCAAGCACCAGTAATTCAGACGTCTTTGGGGAAGGAAGCAATCTGAAAAGCATCCGCATAGAAAAAAATAGTAGGAGTTCAGAGCCTGCAAGTAACATACTTCTATTTGACATCACAGAAACAGCCTGGGCTCAGCCCAAGCCAAGGCAGTATAAGCCCAGACCCAAATCTCAAATAACTGCCCACTCCTTGCTCTTTTGGTTGGCGTCAGTCAATCACCAGTAGAATCAGATGTTTCCTTGCCAACATGACTGATAACGTTTCCAGCGGAGCTGTGTTTATGTCTTGATCCTTGTTTGTGTGATGTTCTGTGTTTTATAACTTCAGTCTCCAGGATTTTTTCCCACGACTGTGCATCATTCCTTATCACCCATAACCAAATATGGCAGCTTTAAATAGTGCTGTCATTTTCTTCAATTCACTCGTTGTGATATAATCAGGTATAGATTTCTGACATTGAGCATCTAATGGGGTTTCAGATTCAGAAAGCAACAATGAAAGATTATTTTTCCCCCTGGGTAAGACACGGAGTGAAATAGTCGTGAGTGACAGGGCACTAGGATTCATGTCCATTTGCCCTGAGAAACGGTGGGGTGCGGAAGGATGGAGAGAAGAGCTGGAGAGAGCAGGCCGTATGTGGAGGGGGCTCCAGCTGGTTGGTGACTTAGGCTCAGAGTTTCCAGACCACCCCGTTTTGTGAAAGAAGCCAGAAATTTGGATTTTATATAAAATCTCCCAATCATTTTATGTTAGCAACGAATACAATGCAGGCTAAACAGGCAAGATGTGTGAGGGCTGTCTGTATAAGCCACCGGTGTGTCCCCGTTGATCTCAGGTGGCTCCAGCCAAGGCCAGAGAAGGGCGTGCACTTGCCCAAGAGCACACAACCGTGGACAGAGTGGGTTACTGAACTCCATCCTGCTCATTCCATTTCACTTTCCTCCAGAAAATGTCTGGGGGCTTGATGGCTCCTGCTCCTGGCTCCATCCTTTGGTTCCCATGACTCTGGCCAGGCACCCCCCGTGCACTGGGGAACAGACCATGTTTCCCCACAACGTGATGGCACGAGCCCTGAGCTTTGTGTCAGAAGACGTGCATTGGAGCCCCAGCTCTCCTGCTTACTGGCTGCGCGAACTTGGACACATCTCTCGACTGCCCTAGGCTCTCGGTTTCTTCACTAGTAAAATGAAAATAATAATCTGCCTTACGGCACCGTGTTGAGGTTTATGTGAGAAATCTCACTGTGTGTGATCACCCTGCAAAGAAAAAAAAAACCAAGGCGCCTGGAACGTTAGTTAGCATCCTCGTGAGAAGGACGTGAGTGTCTAAGAGCCCTGCTGCGTACTCCACCGCCCGGACACCAGGGCTCTAAGGTGCCCCTGGGTGTCACCACGCCGTCCCCAGGGTGGGGTGGGGGTGGGGGGCACACAGGGCAGCGCCTAATGGGCGCTGCTCGCTTGCCCAGCACCAAGCCTCCTTCAACCTAGGAAGTGAGGTGGCCCCAGCTGTCACTTTGTTTGGGTGCTGCGATCAGGGCTAGCTAGGTGTCGGGGCAGCCCCTCTGCACCTTTAGCCCAGGGCCATTTATACCAGTCACCCAGACCCCGGGGGGCCAGGCCATCTGGGGCCGGACCCGCACCCCCGAACCTACTCTGGCCCTCCCCGGCCTGCCCAGGGGCCATCCTGGCTGAGCGGGTACGGTGAATCTGGTTTTTTGTCTTCATTTCCAGGGACGCAAACCTGGCTATTTCTCCTTCCTGGACCCATTTTCTCCGGGCGTCTGGCTCTTCATGCTTCTAGCCTATCTGGCCGTCAGCTGCGTCCTCTTCCTAGTGGCTCGGTGAGCTCTCCCCTTCCCTGTCCTCGCACCGCCACCTCGCGTCCACCTCTGAGAACTGCATGGGAGGGGTGGGGTGGGGCGCTGGAGGGGCGGGTTCAGAAGACCTTGGGGCCCCCCTGGGGGAGGGGGGGACAGGGACTTGGGACCCACCTGCTCTCTGCCCTACCTGGTCCCCCCGCCCTGCACACACGCTCCTTACCATGCACAGGTGTAGACAGACCGGCCTGAATTTACTTCTCTACCCCCTGCCTCTTCCCCCTCCCATTCCCCAACCTCTGGGCCCCTGCTTGTGTGGGGTCCTTGGGAGACAGAGGAGAGGGAGGAGGGTGGCAGGAAGACCACTCTGATTGAGTACTGTGCGTTTGGCTGCCCTGGCATGGGACCTTGCCAGGATCTGCCACAGAGTGCTGAGTGACAAGGACCGGAGGCCTTGCAGCCTGGGCAAGGGAGAAGGTTTCCTCTGAAGGGGGCCTGGCCCAACCCCAGCCCGGATCTGCCAGGGAAAATACAGCTGCTTTGTTGAATGGGAACCATGGAGGGTGGCACAGGACAGGGGGGCGGGATGGAACGAGGCATCTGCAAGTCGTGTTGAGACAACTGGTCCAGATCAGGGCTGGGGAACAATTAAGCCCTCCCTTCCCCCCGGAAACAGAAACTGTCCCTGGGCCTACAGAAGAACCTCCGGGCTTCCCGTGGCCGCCGCCTCCCATCAGCGTGCAGGCACGGGGTCGTCTCTCTCTGAGGCTGGGCCACCGGGTCAGCCCGGGCTGCAGGAGAGCCGGCTTACCGTCCAGACACAGAACAAGCCCTCGTGGGTCGGGTCACACATACAGAATCCCCGCAGCCTGCTCCGTGTTCAGCAGACCGTAGTGGAGGACCAGAAAGGGCTGTGGCTTGGGAGCAGAGGACCACAGGATGAGCTTCAAGAGAGCTGGCAGGGACTCGGTTCTAGATGTCTCCATAGCAGTCCCCTTTGCCTCGGGGCCACAGTTGGGCCCAGATGATTCCCACCTGTCCCACCTCTGCGGAGCGAGGTCTTCCCCAGGAGCGTGTCTGCCCAATGGCTCAAGGAGAGTGTGTGCTCTCTCTAGTTAGACCACAGAACCCCAGGGAACCACGAGGTGTCTAGCCCACAGGGCAGCTCCCAGCCGGGCCAGGGAGCATCATACCACCCGGTCTGTGCCTCTTCCAGTGGAGGTCAGAGCCAAGCTCAGGGAAGTCAGCTGAGCCCATGAGATCCAGCCAAACAGAACAAGGCCTTGCTTACAAGCTGGTAGTCTTCAGAGGCTGCTGCGTGGGCCGCTCAGGTGCCACCTACCCCCTTGGGCCTGGAGGCATTGCCACTGTCAAGTATCTGTTGTCAGTGACAACGAGCGAGACACGCAGGAGGCTGGCACGCTCTATGACACTTTCCCTCCCCACTTCACCGCACTGTCTGCTGCTGCTTTTAGGAAGCTGCCTGCCTGAGCCCTGGCTCCACTGCTCGGTAATTCCCTCTTGCCCTCTTTGACTGAGCCCCGGTGTGTAGCTAGGCACAGCTCTTGGGGGACCTTGAGGGCCCTGGACATGGTCTGAGGGCTTGGTTCCTAGATATACAGACACACAAGCCTGCTTCACCGTGCCTGCCGCAGCCTGAAGCTTTCCCACTGGCCCTGGGGCCCTAAACAGCCCTTCTTCCCTGCTCTACACACACACACACACACACACACACACACACACAGCCCCCCACCCCAAATCCAGCATTAACAGAAGGATTAACCGAAAAAAGGCCACCTATGTATATCTATATATCTATATCTACATTATATCATATATATATATATATATATATATATATATGATATGTGAATCTAGGATAATTTACCTACCTCAGGTAGCTACTGGTTTTCAAACAGGGTTCCATGGGGTAAGAAGGCTCCTGGAGGTGCCAGAGACTTTGGAGGAGTGGTAAAGAGGCTGGGCAGCCAGAGCTCAGGGGCCTCAACTCATCTTCATCCAGACCAGCTCCACTTTTTATCTCTTGATCTATGGTACTTCTGGGTAAGATTCTGGAGGGGAAAAACTGTTTGGAAACCATTCAGCTAAGGCAGCCGTTCCCAAGCCGGCTGATATCAGAGTCACACAGGGAGCTTGTAAAAATTTGAATTCCCAGATCTGAGCCTCTCTCAGCACCTCTAGGGCCGGGGCCGGGGAATCTGTATCTTTGAAGCTCACTTCCAAGAGCTTGTAGGCTTGGAAACCACCGAGGACAAGCCAGCTCGGTAGGCCACAGAGAGAAGGAGCCCATCTCAGGACACGGGCCAACGATGACACACTGCCGTCATATTCAGGAACGAGAGGCGGCAGTGGAGATGTGGGCGAGCCACTGTAGAACAACAGGTCTGGAACAACAGACTAGGCCGAGGGGAGGGTCCGGAAGACCGGTGATGAGAATAGCAGCGTGTGAGCACACGGTGCCTGCCCTGCTCACCACACACGCATACACCTCTGTCTCATCAGAGCTGGGAGGCTTCGCGTGGTGACAGGCCAGGGCCGCTGAACAGAGGAGGGAAGGCATGTGTCTGGTGGGCAGGAAGAAAGGACATTCTGGACATCAGAGAGGGACGGCGGGAGGGAGGGGGTGGGGAGCTTAGAGCAGCCCTTCTCAACCCTTACCTGAGGAGCCTTAAAAAACACAAATGCCCAGGCCCCTCCTGGACAAATGAAACCAGAACCTCTGGGGGTGGCATCGTGTCGTCAACATTGCTTTAAGAGCTCCCAGGTGAGTGAAACACAAACAGCATTGAGACCCACTGCCCGAGGGAGTATCTAGGCCAGTGTTTCTCGGTGTGGACCCTGGGCCGGGGGACTTGACATTACCAAAGAAGCTGCAGATTCATAGACCTCACGCAGACTTTCCTGAATCAGAAACTTCAGGCGCCGAGCCCAGCAGTCTGTGTTTTAACAAACCTCCTTGAGGATTCTGACCTAGGCTAAAAGTTTGAGAACCACTGTTCTGGGATGAGGATTCTCAAACTGGTTCTGTGGGGCCCTCAGATCCTTTCGGGGCCTGAGGGTGGCAGAAGATGCCGTTTCATGGCCATCTACCCCTGACACATCCTGGCCAAGGGCCTGTACTTTGATCTATTTTGTATTTGGAGTTCCATGTCGTGATCCATTTTGGAGAAATAGAGATGTTGGGGATGTTTGATTAAAAAAAAAACAAAAATGGTTGAAAACCTGCCAAGGTTGTCCAGGCCCCTCATTTTTTGGTTGGGAGCATCCCAGTCCAGCAAAGGAAAGCAGCTGGACCCAGGCCACATGCCAGGTACTGAAATACAGAGGTGAGGCCAGAAAGGAGAGACCCTCCTACTCTCCCCAGCACTTTCCTTCACGCCCACCTTCCGTGGCACTGGTCTCTGTTCCGTTTCTCCCGCAGGTTAACCCCCTACGAGTGGTACAGCCCCCACCCGTGCGCCCAGGGCCGCTGCAACCTCCTGGTGAATCAGTACTCCCTTGGCAACAGCCTCTGGTTTCCTGTTGGGGGGTTCATGCAGCAGGGTTCCACCATCGCCCCCCGAGCCTTATCTACCCGCTGCGTCAGTGGCGTCTGGTAAGATCTGGGGCAGAGAAGGGGCCAAGCCCAGTGGGGTGGGGACACCAAGGGGGTCCTCAGATAAGCTCTGCTCCAGCTGCAGGTGGACAGGAACCGCACCCAGAGCTCTGCCTTTCAAACCAGACCAACAGGGAGCTGGGCTGCATTTGGCCAGCTCCAGAAGGCTTGGGAGCACTGGCTTGGGGACACTTTGTGCCATCTTAATCCCATTTCCCTTTCCCTCTGCTTCAGAGGTCTGGAGACAGAGGAGAGCCAGGGCAGGAAAGGAGATGCAGAAAACAGCCTTGGAGGCACTCAGCAAAGTGATTATAACCCCCTGACCTGAAAATGACCTGAGGTTGAGCGGCTTGGGCCTGCCAAGGCATATGCAGATTTATGCAAATATGAATGTGCAGCGGGAAGTGCCTGCTGGAAGACTCTAAACCTGGCTGTCACATCTGGCCATGTCTACCAGCTTTCTTGAACTTGTCCCTCGGCGCCTGGCTCTGGGGCCTCCTCACGGGACCTGTCCACCTCGGCAGGTGTGGGCAAATGCAAACTCTTAGTGGCTCAGAGTCGGACAGGATCTCAGGAGCGATCCCCACCTGGGGCCGTCAGCCAGCCTCGGCCTGAAACTCCCTTCTCCTCTTGGCTCATCCAGAGCGAAAAGAATACGGTCGAGTGATTCGATGTGTGGGAAAGCAATTTGAGAACTTGAAAGTGCTACATAAATATGTGGACTAATCATTGCTGTTAGACCATTATAGGGAGAAATGAACACACACACACACACACACACACACACACGCACGCATATTTGTATGTATGTATATGGCAGAGACAGGCAAGTTTGCAGAGTTCCAGTTCCCCGGCCTTACTTAAAAAACCCACTGCTGGGTTTGGCTGTCACAGCCTATGGGACTTACGACCTTGCTTCCTTCGCCTCCGTCTCAGCCTGTGTAAGCCAAAGGATAAAGGAAAAGTGGTGTTTCCACCTTTGGGCACCAGCGTTTGGATAGTTACCAGAAGGACACTGGACTGAGGCTAATGGGGAGGTAAAAATGCAGCTGGGACTGTGACCCCAACCCAGCTGGGCTTTTTGTTTTCTCTGATAAATGATAAATACAGTAGAATTTAAAACATCTGGGCAAGGTGATCACCCATCACCAGATAGATGGTGCTCAGAAATCACCAAGTGGATCAATGGGAAGAACTGGGTTTTAATGTTCCCCAGAAAAAGGGACAGTCTTGGTGAGAAAAATCGCAGAGTTCCCTCAAAATCCTGGAAGTCTGGACAGAAGCCCTGCAAGGCAGCAGAAGTCAGCTGTAGACTCTGAGCTCGTTCTACCTGGGGCCTTTCCTTCCAGAGGGCTGTGCTCCCACGCACTGCACAGAGGCCCCACTGCCTGCTTCATCCACCTGTCAGCTCCCCAACACCCAGGAATTCCCTCCAGAGAATGCCTGCATGAGCACCAGGGAGGGACACCTGTCCTGCAGGCTCCCTGCCCTGGCTCACCAGCTGGGCTCTAAATAGCTGTCCTGGGGGCATGGTGGGGCCTCCTTTATGTGTGTGTGTTGTGGGGGGGGGGTGGCTTGAGTTATTAGGGAGCCTCTCTGCCTCTTGGTGTTCTCAATTGTCAAATCAAGGCCTCGATTTGATCGGCTCCCTAAAGGAGTCGGAGACCGGAAGTGAGGGCCATGCCAGCCTACCTTAGATTCTTCACCCAGAGCAAGTGATGGAGGATGCCATGTTGCTAACGAATGCCAGCCAGACAGCTGATAATGCCCCTTTGACACAGGAGCAAGGCTCCCCTGACCCCTCTGGAGAGAGCAGGTGATTTGCTTTTCTCAGCGGAGATGATAGGCTTGCCCCAGCTGCTTCGCTCTCTGACCTGTTCTTTTATGACCAGTGGTATAAAGCACCACAAGGCCACCCAGGGCGGGACAGATGCCTGAGTGTAGCCATGGGGCTGAGGGAACCTCCCCAGCCAACTCCAAGGTCAGGTCCAGACCCAGGGCTCTTGAACGCGCACGGCAGGAGCCTGAGTAGCTCAGCTGCTTCAGAATGCTGGCCTCTGCCTGGGGGTGCCCCCCCCACCTCCCTGGCCTCCCCTGGGAGATGGTCACAAGAACTTCCAGCAGAGAGTATGAGCGGAGGCAGGAGCAGGGAGAGGTCTGAAGGATGGAAGGATACGTAGCATTTTCAGGTCACAAATAGGAAAGGTGGCCAGATGCTTTTATTTTATTTTTTAAGATTTTATTTACTTATTCATGAGAGACAGAGAGGGAGAGACACAGAGGGAGAAGCAGGGAGCCTGATACAGGACTCGATCCCAGGACCCCGGGATCAAGACCTGAGCCAAAGGCAGATGCTCAACCACTGAGCCCCCAGGGGCCCAGCCAGATGCTTTTTATCTTATATTCAGTGTGAGGGTCTGTCTCTATATTTCTCTGTATCTCACATTCATCCGGTCCTTTACAGATTATTAGTCACCAATGACATACTCTCTCATTTGATCTCATAATTCTCCAAAGACAGGCAGAGCAGGCATTTTATCCCCAAGCAGAAGAGCTGGAGGAGGTATGTGGCTTTTCCCCTAAGGTCTCACAGGTGGAGTGGAAGAAGGCCAGAACTAAAACCAGGTCACCTCACTGGTGGTCTGGCATCTGGACATACCCATTGAGTTGGTAGATGACCCTGTCACTCCGCATCTGTGAGGCAGCCCAAAGGGGACCTTGGACACAGTGACAGGCGACAATGGGCCTTCCTGCTCTGAAAAATCCCCTGGAAGCTGACGGCCTCTGAATCCTATGGCAAATGCTACGCTTTAGTTGACAATGTCTTCATAATGAGTAAAGCCTCATTAATTCAGACTCCACTGATTCAGAATTTGTGATTATCCAGCCTCAATTATGCTTGGATATGTCTTTGAACCCCTATAAACGAATGGATTGGGATGCAGATCCACACTGCTGACCAGATGGTAGAAGGCTTATTTAACCTACTTAAGTGAACAAACTAGTTGTAATGGCTTTAGCATATATATATATATACTGCCTGAGTTGCAAAATTATTCTCATTTTAAATGAGTTTGCTCTACCCAATAAAACACTCTTCTATTTTGAAATAGCTTGCCCATTGCAAGAGTAGTTTCTAATTCCAACTTCTCAGAAGTTCAGAGGTGCTTGTCACCAGTTCATCTGTAAGAGTTTCCTGTTGGTAGAACTAACTGGTATTAAAATATGGATTTAGGGGATCCCTGGGTGGCGCAGCGGTTTGGCGCCTGCCTTTGGCCCAGGGCGTGATCCTGGGGACCCGGGATCGAATCCCACATCGGGCTCCCGGTGCATGGAGCCTGCTTCTCTCTCTGCCTGTGTCTCTGCCTCTCTCTCTTTCTCTGTGTGACTATCATAAATAAATAAAATTTTTTAAAAAATCCATATTTAAAATAAAATAAAATAAAATAAATAAAATAAAATATGGATTTATCCATGTGTTACTTGGCAAGTTACTTTGCTTCTATGAACCCCTGTTTCCTCACTGGCAAAACTGGGGAAAGAATTTTACCACCCTTAGTTGTAGGGAGTACATGAGATAGTGTGTGTGGCTCATGGCAAGTGCTCAGTACATGGCGATGCTCACCTGATGGTTGGCTCTGTCGTGAGAAGACAGGGGCACAGGGGCAGCCAACCAGCCCTGGCTCTAAACAGAGCCCCCAGAGCTGGCACCCTTAGCTCATTCACTAACGCATTCCTCACAGTCTCTGAGATGGTCTCATGGACACGGACATACCTCTTTTGAACATCAACCCAATAATCACCTCCACTAAGAAATGAGAAAATTAATGGTCTTCTTTCAGGCAACCCTCACAATCTCTGTTCATTTCTGTTGACATCATATGCCCTGCCTCCTTTCTCTTCCCCTACTGAGCTGGGGAAGAGGGCCACCTGGTACCTCCTCTGTCGCTACAGGACTGGGGATGGGGGCTAAGACTCCTGAGGGTGCTCAGGCAATGATGCTTTCCTGGTCTTTTCCTATGTAGGTGGGCATTCACGCTGATCATCATCTCATCCTACACGGCCAACCTGGCGGCCTTCCTGACTGTGCAGCGCATGGATGTGCCCATTGAGTCGGTGGATGACCTGGCTGACCAGACCGCCATTGAGTATGGCACAATTCACGGAGGCTCCAGCATGACCTTCTTCCAAGTAAACCCATCGGGTTGCTCACCAACGTGGGGCAATTGGGCAGAATAATGTTGAGAAGGTGTCCTCCAGAGATAAAAACATCGATCCTCATCCCATGATCCCTTTCGAACATCTAGTTTGGAGGTTCACTTGGGGCACATTTATCCCTCGCTCTGCAAAATACCCCTGGAATGGGGTTCTGAGAGCACTCTGGGTTAATATCAGCCTGTCCCAAAGTGTTGTCCAAGAACTATGAGGGGCACTTGAGATGATTTTCGGTACAATGTGGCAAAACTATTTTTTGATGGTCATAGTTTCACATTTGTTCTAAAGGGTATTAGGAAAACATGTATGTAAACGGGGTGAATCTAACCTGCACTTTTATTCATTCCATCAAATAGGATGAGGCTAGTGTGCACATTTAAACTTGGTTATGTGAGTTAAATTTTATAGGTAGCACTTAGACAAAGCAAGATAATAATAATAATAATAATAATAATAATAATAATAAGTTTCATGATCTCTGAGGAAGCAGATTTACCCTGGATTTCATAGGTCTCTAACCAACCTACTCCCTAGGACATGAAACAAATTCAAGGTCTGCAGTTTTCCATTTTCCATACAAGTGTCAGTGCCCGTTGACATGCAACCACTGAAGGCATCGTGCAAACACAGGTGTGGATAGACAGCCCCCCAACCCCAGAATTCTCTCGGTTTTGTTTTTATTTGTAAAAATAGAGGCCAGCCCTGGACATGTGATTGATAAGTTGGTTTAGAGTCCACAGTAAATAGCTGGCACTCCTCCTTCAGATGGTGTCTCTTAAGAGTCCTGATGAGCCTGAATTCATTGCTTCCAACTTGAGAGACAGTGAAAGACACAACTGGACTCTCTGTTTTTATTCTGTCAGAACCTGGAGGTTGGTGGTGGAAGACTTCTCTAGGGTGGACGGGGTGAAAGCAATTCTCAAACCAGTAGGCAGAGTTTGCAGTACCCTAGGACCCTGTTCTTTCCTTGCCTTTCTGTGAAAGGCATCAAAGGCACTCCTCCTCCTGCCATGATACAGCAGCTGTTGAAAGATGGAAGGGAAAAGGTTACTGAATATCACAAGGGGATCAAGGAACAAAAGGGCCAGGATTTTTAAGGCCCACTTTGGCTCTTCCCTTTTTAAAACCGCCCTTTCCTTTCTCTTGTTCTAATTCAGCTTCCTCATGTTCTTTTCCCAGAATTCCCGCTATCAGACCTACCAACGCATGTGGAATTACATGTATTCTAAGCAACCAAGTGTGTTTGTGAAGAGCACAGAAGAGGGAATAGCCAGGGTGTTGAATTCCAACTATGCCTTCCTTCTGGAATCCACCATGAATGAGTACTACCGGCAGCGAAACTGCAACCTCACTCAGATTGGAGGGCTGCTGGACACCAAGGGCTACGGGATCGGCATGCCAGTTGGTATGCAGGAGAGGGACAGCCTCTTTGGGGAGCTCCATCCAGGTGGGGTCAGAGTAGCTGGAACTACTGAATGCAGCACTGAATTTGTCAGATTCTAGAACCAGTTAGCAGTGACTTTAGGTGGGCAGCCGCCAGGTTAAAAAAAAAAAAAAGGCAAACCCACCTACTTTCACTAATCAGTGATTGGTTCTTGATCTTTAATTATTGAAGGGCAATTGATTAGTTTTTAATTGATTACTTACTCAAGAGCACGTTGATCTCTTGGTAGGTACTTTGGGGCTTTTGTTCTACCCTCTTCTGTTTCCTGCCCCTTGCCCATTTCTCTGCTGATGGACCTCTCCGCTAGCAGTGGGAAGAAGGAGGAAGAGATGGCCAAACTTAGTTCTGCTATCAGTGTCCCTGGTGAAAGGTATAATTATTACAAAAGGAAATTGGCATGATGAGAAGAGGTGGCTTTCAGATCATTTTTGGGTCTCGTGGACCCATCTCCTCTAAATCAGCATAAGTCATTGGGAACGAGCAATAGAACTCTCTATTCAGGTGACTGTGTGCCATCCAGGCAGTTATAGCGCAGTAGATGGATGCTTGGCTTCCAGAAGGGTCTCCCAGCTGTGCTTTCCTAAAAGGTAGTCACACTTTGGGCCTCCCCCTAATGGTAATGGTACCTCCAACAGAAGGTGAGGGGAAGCCCACTGAACTGCTTATTGGATTGGAGCAGGAATCTGTAAATGTTCTCCAGGTGCCTGGGATATGTACTCTTGCCCCCACCCACCGCTGAGAGCCACTCTCTATAGGGCCATCCTCGCCCAATGCTGTTTTTCTATGAGGTTGTGCTATACAAGGCAGCAGAAGGAGAAGCAGGAATGGAAGCCACCAGGCCATATGGGGAAATTGATAAATAGCATGTACATCTTTGCTGTTATCTTAGGGTCTCCTTCTCTTGATCTTTACCTCATTCAGAGCTCTTTAGGCTTCACTATGCCCGTAGAGTGTGAAAAGTATGGGTTTGGAGTCAGGCAGACCTGGGAATGTGCCTGGTTGTGGGCTGTGGGACCTCAGATCATTTAAGCTCTCTGAATCTCAGTTATCCCGTCTGTAAAATTAGGTTTTTAATCCCTACCTCATAGGGTAATTGAGGGGTAAACCTAATAACCAGTCAGGTGCCTTACTACAGTGTCTCACACTTAGGCTGTTTAGAGGGAACATGAGTGACCTCCCCATCTATTCCATACTCCCCTGTGTTATTTGATAAAAGCAAATGACTTCTTATTTTTTTAGTATTTTTATTTATTCATGAGAGGCACAGAGAGAGAGGCAGAGACATAGGCAGAGGGAGAAGCAGGCTCCCCATGGGAACTTGATCCTGGGAGTCCGGGATCATGCCCTGAACCAAAGGCAGATAGATGCTCAATGACTGAGCCGCCCAGGTGTCCCCAGCAGATGACTTCTAAAAGACTGATGGGAAACCGAATCAATGAGCATAGATAATGATACAGTTCATTCTCGAACTCTGAATTCTGACACTAGCAGCTCTGTAAGCCAGAGGTCTCACTTGGGGGACTTGTAAACCCACACAGTCTCTTCTTATGATCATATTTTGTTGCTATTTGTTAATATACAGATTATGGACCTCTATGAGAAATTTGTTGGCTTACATTTTGTTTCAAGATAGTGGAGTGAGCCACAAGACAAACTCAAGATGCACCTTGATCATGATCCAGCAATTTAAGACATTGACCTGAAATCTCAAATGCTCCAAAAGTTTCCATGGCATGAACCTATAAAGAGTGGAACGAAAGCAGACCAACTCTAGACGTTTTTTTTAATCAATAACGAAAGAAAAAGGGAAGGAAATGTATTTCTTCTGTATCAGGCATGGTGCTATTTTCACATGTCAACCCACCTGCAATGTAGATGTGGTCCTTCCCACTCTAGAGGACAGCATTGAGATTTAGAGGTGACAACCTTCTTGTTCAGGGTCACACTGAGTCAGTAGAGGAGCCAGGTTTGAGCCTAGACTGCCTGTCTCCAGATTCAATGGGGCACTTACCAGACCATGTTCGCACCGGCTCAGCAAGACAGGATAGGTGGGAAAGTGAGCTGTGTGCCTGCCCGGGTTCTCGGATCAGGCTGGGAAGAGCATCACACAATCCACTGATGAGACGGAATTGACATTGGCTGAGGTTATGTCCAGGAAAGATAGCATGTGTGTCCTTTTTAAGTGGCAGTAAGGGCATATCCGGAGAATAAGCCATGTGCTTGGACCCAGGGAAATGAAGAGGAACAGAACGAGGAATGAGATGGAAAATTAGTCAAGTGGTTTAGGAGCAAAGTGGGCAAACATGGCCGTCAACAGAATAATTCTTTCATGGGGCCCCTGGTGTGCTGTTGAGGTTGGGCTGAAATGCCTTGAAAACTGCTTGAAATGCCTGGCTGGGCTGGACAGTTGTCTGTAAACCTGGGCTGTTCATTAGTCTCACCACCTAGCACCATCTGTTCATTCAAGTAGCCATGCACCGCAGATGCGTACTGAGTACCTACTATACATGAGGCACTCTTGATGTTCACTCATGTCGCTTGCATAGACACGTTCTGTGCTGCAGGCTTGGAGGTTTGCATGGCCAGGCGTAGTTAGATTTCAAGTAGGGAAGGTTCCATCTGTGGAGTCATAGGCTGTCAGAGTCCAAAGAGATCTGGGAGCTGCTCTGCTCCCTCGCCTGTCAAAGTCCAGCTTATGGCTGAGAGGCAGGGCATCCCCTTGGAGCTAGTTAGAAATGCACAATCTCAGGCCGTACCCGAGACCCACAGAATCAGAGTCTGCAGGTCAATCAGATCCCCAGGTCATTCCCATACATATTAAAGTCTGAGAGCACAAATCTTTGTTCCAAGCATCTGCCTCGGTTCCCTCGCCCTAGCCTTTTCCCCGGAGGCATCTGTCCACATCAGGCCTTCACAGAGCTTGAGCAAGAAAACTGAGCAGCTTAGTTGGTTTCCAGCCTCTTGGCAGCTTTTTCTTTATGATCTCCGGCCTCAGCCCTTGCTGGGGCATTGAGCTTTCCACGGTTTCATTTAAGCCTATTTTTGTGATTAAACCTAAATTCCAGAACCAAAGCTCCTTGACCATATTCCATTAGAAAAATTAAAAAAGAATTGCACTGAATAGAAGCCTTCTGTTTGAGGAGGGGGGAGGAGTGGTGCACACAGGGTGATGGATGGGGACAGGGGGTTGTCGGACACTCGGCAGGCAGGTGGGAAGGTTTGGGTCACTGGTATCTGGATTCTGGGCCCAGATGGAAGAGAGGTGGCTTCTGTCCCACTCTGGGGTGGCTCTTCTCTCACTGGGGGCTGCTCTGGGTAAAGAGCAGTCAGGTCTAATGTAGTAAGAGTTACAAGTGCCTGGGGAGTTAATTTAGATAGAGTAGAAGACAGCTGACTCAGTGAGAGGTTTATGTCACAGGAGATTTCCCACCTTGGCCTCTGGGAGGCAGAGGGGAAGCCTCGTGACCAGCTTCCCGAGTGTCAGTGAGCAGGTTGGTTAACCTCAGTAGGAAGTGGTGGGGAAGCGAGCCTCCACCGGTACCTGAGAAGCTGTCCCTTGACCCACACTGAGTTCTTGGCCATGGGCTGAACATGCCAGTCATCGTAGAGAGAAGGAAAGTAGAAGGGCTGAGTGCCCTGTGTGAAGCCAGAACTCCCTCCACTCCATGGATGGTCCTCAGAACAAGCCAGGTGGAGAGCCATGCTCCTGCGGGGACCCCGCCACATCTGTCTCTCTCTCCTGATGTCCAGTGGGCAAAGTGGCAAGGAGGTGTAGTGGGGAAAGGAGCAGAGTGATGCATACGAGAGCACTCACGCCCTGTGTTCTGGGCTCTCCCGTGACCTCACAGGTTCAGTTTTCCGGGATGAGTTTGACCTGGCCATCCTCCAGCTGCAGGAGAACAACCGCCTAGAAATTCTGAAGCGCAAATGGTGGGAAGGTGGCAAGTGCCCCAAGGAGGAAGATCACAGAGCCAAAGGTAAGGGGGTTCAGGGCTTCCCCCTCCTGCTCTAGAGTACAGCAGCTGGCTCCTGGTGTTGAGTCCGGGTGATGATTGCTCAAACACATGAAGAGCAAGCCTTGGAAGGAACTTAGGGCTGGGTGCGGCTGGGCTGAGGGCTGGTCGTGGCCCAGAGTCTTGGCAGGTTGGAAGCACCCAGTGCCCACCTGCTCACGAGTCCTGGAGATGCCATATTCACCATGGTTCCTGAGTTCCGCAGCCTCTTCCCCAGGCCCATGTCCCCATCACTTCCCAACCACAGACTGCCCCGCCCTCCCATTCTTTCTCCTTGACAGAATCTTCTCCACCAATAGTCAGAGTGGTTCTTTTTCTTTTCTTTTCTTTTCTTTTCTTTTCTTTTCTTTTCTTTTGTTAGAGAACAAGTGAGCATGAGACTGGGGGGTGGAGGAGTAGGGGGAGGGCCGAGGGAGAGGGAGAGAGAGAATCCCAAGCAGACTCCATACCCAGTGCAGGGCCTGATGTGGGGCTCGATCCCAGCATGACTGAGCTGCAATCAAGAGTCGGATATTCAACTGACTGAGCAACCAGGGTGCTCCCAGGTTGATTTTTATGATGCAACTAAATCATAGCATTCCCCTACATGAACCTTCAAAGCCTTCCCATCTCGTCTTCTGTGGCCTCAAGCTCCTACCTAATATGTTTCTTCCTAAGCCTCTTCCTTTTCTGTTCTGTTCTATTCCTCCAGGCCTCCCAGCCTGCTCCCACCTCGGGGCCTGTACACCTGTTCCCTCCTCCTGGCCTCCCTGAGGAGGCTCCCCCAGAGAAGTCATCCCTCCCCTCACCCATCTCCCCCATCACCTGAGCTCTGCTTTGGTTTTCTTGTCAGGCCTCATCACTCCCTAATACACTGTGTTCTCTTCATTTATTTGTTTACTTTCCATCTCTTCTATCAGAATGTACGCTTCATGAGGGCAGGGTTTGTCTTTTTTGCAGGGCTGCCCGCAGGGCCTGGCACGTGGATATTTTATTGAATGAATGAATGAGTGAATGAATGGAGTTTAAATCACACTGGATAGAAAACAGTCACTGACGGATATGTGTGATTGAGGAGTATTGAGGGTCCCTGAGCACCCAGGATTTTTTTGTAGCAGGTTTGCTCAGGATAGTCCCAGGCTACATCTGTTGTAGATCAGTTTAATGCCTATTAGTTATTTTTAGAACCCCCTTTAAGTCTCATAATGTCCTGGTTTGGACAATAAATCATATGGTCACACTAGTAATCTATTGCAGTCTTGCTAAAATATGTAACAAATTTACCTACACACGCTGTCCCCTAGGAAGGCGGCGGAGGAGAGAAATGAATAATACCGTGTACTTCCTTCCCTCTCTGCTCAGCATGAATGATTATCTGTGATGAGACAGTGAATGAGTGACTTTGTGTTTCCAAGTGTCTCTGTGTGGATCTCTGTCCTGCAGGGAAAGGTCTCGGGAATATGGACCTATGGGTACTTTAATGGCCCTTTGTAGTTTGGAGGAAGTGCTGCCCCTTCCCTCGCAGGAACCCAGGGGGCCACACATGTCTTGGCTCTCCACTCCCCAAAGATCAAGTGTGGAGGAGACTCACTCTGTTTAGAAGAAAAGAAATGAGGGTATCGGCAACCTTTTGTGCATTCGGTAGACTGAAGTAGATGCTGAAGATGTTCAGGACCTGAGCAGGTGGGGAGGGTCAGAGCAGGTATTGCAGGCGATGACACCTTGAGGACGATGCAGCAGAAATCCGTGCTGGGGTGGGTGGGTGGGGACTCTGTGCGGTGCTGAGGCGGCGGGGGCTTTGTGCGGTGCAGGAGGGACACAGGTTCTGTGCGGTGCAGGGGGGCGCGGACTCTGTGCGATGCAGGGGGGATGGGGGCTCTGTGCGGTGCAGGGGAGGCAGAGGCTCTGTGCGATGCAGGGGGGACATGGGCTCTGTGCGGTGCAGGGGGGACGTGGGCTCTGTGCGGTGCAGGGGGGACACGGGTTCTGTGCGGTGCAGGGGGGCGGGGGCTCTGTGCGGTGCAGGGGGACGGGTTCTGTGCAGTGCAGGCGGCGGGGGCTCTGTGCAGTGCAGGGGGGACACAGGTTCTGTGTGGTGCAGGGGGGAGGGGGCTCTGTGGGGTGCAGGGGGATGGGGAGTCTGTGAGGTGCAGGGAGAGCAGAGCAAGATTCCCAAGGCAAGAGCTGAGCTGTACAGAGGGTTTGTACTGGGGAAGGTGTCGGTTGCAAAATGCTCCTGCACCACCCCCTCCCCGCAAAAGGACACATGAATTAAAAACAATCTGAATCCGGCCTTGGAATAGTCAAAACAAAATGAGATAATTGATAAGTTAACATCTGCTAATGTTGTTCTGTGATAACAAGGAACTTCAGAGGGATGGGAAAGAAAGCCATCTGACCAAGCAGGTGGAGGGAATGGTAGTGGCTTTTGATCTGGAATAATCTAAAGTAGAAACACAAGTGGATCTGGGCCCCAGAACAGAAGGACCTTGATTCCACCTGACAGATGAGTGAAATGTCCAGGTATTTCTCTTCCTAGAAGCCCTTCATCCCCCTCCACCCCACCCTTCCCCAGTGGGTCGGGTGCCTTCTGTGCCTGTGGACGAGCACCAAAAGCACTACCTGGCAGCTCCTGGTCTCCTCTGTTTGGCAGATGGCTCCTCAGCCATGGACCTCAGCCAGGGGACCAGTCTCATTTGTTTCTAGGTCCCTCGCTTCTCCTACAGAGCCCCGCACATAGCAGAGACCCGGTAAATATTTGTGGGGGGTGTGACTGAAGCTACTGGCTGGTATTTGTCCAAAGCTCCCACTGGCAGTGTTCTCCTGGGTCACATTAGCAAAGTGCCCAATGAAACTGCTTCGGTGACCTGCGTGAGCAACTTCACCCCTGAGCTCTCCACCCTGCCAAGTCATTCCTGCCTCTGAGCAGCTGACCCCACGGATGTCGATGAGGGTGGCTGGATCACAGCAGGAGGGACCAAGGGCAAGGGCTCAGATGGTGCAGCCCACCCCCACCCCCACAGACTCCTGCATTGCCCCCCCCCAGGCCAGTGGCAGGCTGTGTCAGCTATGCCTCCCCCTCCTGTCCTACTTCCCACTAGCTGTGGGCTTCCCCAGCTTTCCCTGGGTTTGTAACTCAGATCCCCGTTTGATCTCTTGGAGCACACTTCCCCTTGAGGCTCACTGCTCAGTTGCTCCTCTGTTTCCAGCTTCCCCTTTCATCCCTGTCCCCTAAACCCAGCCCCAGGGCCTTCCTTTTTTGTGCACGTGTGTCTTTGCTTTGTTTATGCATGCATCCTGCTAATCCTTTAGAGAAAAAGTTGGAGGGCAGCAAAATTGGCGAGTGCGGGGATGATACAGGATCTGAGTGCCTTACTGATGCCTTCCGCGGTCCCCAGTCTAGATCATCTGTCTCCCACTCTAGGTGTCACCTGAAGTCCAGCGGACTTTGTCTCGCCCTTCCCCCCCTCTCCCCCCCACCCCCGACCCCAAGAAGGGAGCTCATCAGACTTTTACTCTCCTGCCTGCCTCTTTGTTCTACCATCAGCCACTAGCCTGGTTCTCCTACCTTGGGAAGTTTTTTTAGGGTTCAGGATCATGGGCATTGGTTTGAATGGACACCACCCCATAAATGACCTTGTTACACACACTACGAAATGTCTCTGAGCCTCAGTTTCCTTCTCTGGGAAATAGAGATGATAATAATCATGTCACCTCCCAGGGCTATCGTGAAGATCGAAAATCATGTTAAATAAACCCTCTGCAAAAGTGACTAGCACAAAAGAAATGAGAACTAATTTTATCCCCAAATGTAGGCCTAAAGGGACAATCAAGGCACAGCGAGAGGTCTGAACAGTGTCCACAGCCGCAGGTATGCCCACTCATCACGTGCTCCCCAAGTCTAGATGGCTCTTGTAAAATTAACACTTATGATGTCTGTTTTGCATCTGTTGACATCTGTCCCCCATGGTCTATAAAAAACTCAAACATAGAGACTGTCTCATCTATTTTTGTATTTCAGTAACCAGCATTATCATCTGACATCTGTGTTTGTTGAAAGGATGAACAAATGAACAAATGAATGAATGAATGAATGAATGGAGTAGGCAGTCATCTCAAGGACCTGCAGACTGGTATCACTTCCTGTGTCTGCTGTCTCCCAAGCAGGAACCCTGACACCCCGGCTGGTGGCATAGAAAGTGTTCCCGTAGCTCCATTGCATCCAACATACGTTGTAACCCACCTCAGATCAGGCACTGTGCTGGGGATTCCCAGGGTATGAAAAGGACTAAGACATGGCCCGTCCTCAAGAGGTTTAGAACCTAGAGAGAGGCACAAATCATCACTACAACGGTTGCACTGTAGGAATGCTTTACACGAACATAAAGGAAGTGTTTATGAAGCCCATGGGAGGAAGTGATTAATTCTGAGCCAGTCAAAGAAGACTTTAGGGACATTTGGCCTGAACCTTGAAGCATCTATCAGGACTCACTGCTTTGGGAATGGTGTAGAGCATAACTGCTCCATTCAGAAATCGGTTTGAATAAGTAGGATGAGGTTGGAGTTCAGAGATCATTGAAAAGTAGGTGGAGGCATTTGGACTGCAAACGACCATGTCCCAAGCTTTTCCATGGAAGGAATTAATAGTAGCAGAGACCAAGCCTACACTCTTGGGGGTCTGGGGGCATAGTTTAAAACAGCCCACCATGCTTGGAATGTCCTTGGTCTTCTGTTTTATCCTAAAAACACATAGGAATTTTGCAACTTAACGACATAACATAGGCATGTTTATTTAGCAAGAATGCTTTCTCCACCTCAACTCTAAGTAAAATTGGTGTCCCAGGAAGATGCTCCATAAACATCTCAGAGCATTGCCTATGCCTTGGCACACCAATAGCACCCTGAACTAGGTTCAAGAGTGTTGGCTACAGACTTCAGAGGTGCTGGGCTAAGATGTGGCATGATGAAAGCAGGTGCTGGCGATG